AGGAAAAAAAAGAATAGTAGATAGAAGATCAGAAAAAAAAAATCCACAGTGACATCAGGGAGACAGTTGTACTGAAATGAACAAGCTGGAAGAGAGACAGCAGTGGGAAGAGAGGAAAAAACGGTGAAAATCTAGAGGTAGTCAACGTTTTACAAAAGTACAACCAAAAGAGAAATAGAAACAGAACTGGAAGAAAGAAATGGAAGCTGAGGTGGGAGTATCAACCCAAACTTTTTAAAGATCAAAGAACCTGAACAAGTTCGATGCTGATGGTGAAGGGATCCAAAAAGAAAGGTGGTAGAAGACACAGGTGCATAACTAAGAGAAAGAGCTGCTGGTGAGAAGTGGCATAAGATCCAGAGAATAACATGATTGGATTGGCCTAGGCAGAAGCAAAGATCTGCCTCCTCCTCTGGAACAAAAGATATGGTAAGTGTGGTACTCAAAGGCAACACATTTCTTAGTGATGAAATTTATGCCCAGGCTTCTTTGTCATAAGCAGGTGGGATCATCTGATGAAAAGGACTGTCTGACTGGTGGGGGAGGAGCTTGAAAAGAAGGTGAAATCAAGAAGATATTGAAGGAAAGGACCTGAGATGGACCTGGAGCCTGGACCTGCCAGGGAGTGCTCCTAGAAAAATCACTTTTGCCCAGCTTTAAAGGAAGAATTCAGGGCTGTTTGCAGGTGGCACCACTTACTTGACCCGGGCAAGGGGACTAGCTTCCAACTTGTTTCTTCACAGCACTCAGGTAACATATGGGTCCCAAAATGGCGGGGGATCCAAAAAACCCAAGAGATTAGTTATAGCCTTCCACAGTTGGCAGGATGATCCACACCTGTTCATCCCTGAGGGAAAATTTAGGTACACGGTCTGGAATTATCCCATTCTGCTTCCTGTGTAAATTTCCCTAGAATGTGGAATGGCAGTATTTACAGACTTCCATTTCATACTTTAAAGAAATGACTTCCTCTCACCATGCCTCTCAGCATCACTCCATAAATCTTCTCTTCTCTGGTTGGATTAGCAGGAACAGAGTTCTGCAAAGATTAAAGAGGACACATCCTGCTGCATCTGTAGCCTCATTTTTCCCCAGCACTGTCCCAAACACTCCACTTCCAGGATCCATTGACATGAGACTACTATGGCATATGGCTTTAATAGATCATGGGATTTTAGATGCTTTGCTTAAAGGAGTGGTTCTCAACTGGGGGCACTTTTGCCACCTGCAGTATATTTAGCAACATTTCAATTGCCACAGATGGGGGAGGCCAACCAGTGAGTGCAGGCCAGGGATGCTTCTAGATATCCTCCAATGCACAGGTGGCCCCCACAATGAAGAATTAACCAGCCCCAAATGTTAATACTTTCGTTTTGATTTGGATCTTAGATGTCCTCCAGGGACTCATTTGTTGATGTCTTGGTCTCCAGTGCACTAAAGTTCAGAGGCGGAACTTTTTTAAAGTGGTTGATCATGACAACTTTAACCTCATAATTGAATTAACCCATTGATGGATTCATAACTAAATGGACTATTAGGAAGGGGTGGAAAGTGTAGGAGGTGGAACCTAGTTGAAGGGAGTGAGGGGTTCCTTGGGGAATCCCCTCAGGGACTAGATCTTGTCCTCTGGTCCCTTCCTCTCTCTCTCTCCCTCTGTTTCTCTGCTGCACTGCCATAAGGTGAACAACTCTGCTCTGTCATGCCCTTCCACCATGATATTCTGTCTCACTAAAGACCCAGAAAACTTGCAAAATTGTGAGCAAAATAAATCTTTCCTCCTCTAAGTTAATATTCTCAGATATTTTGTCGCAGTGACAAAAAACTCACTAACCCAAATGTGAAAGATGACAGATCATAATTTAAAGAGCTCCTCATGTGATAGGATTCTTTTACATTTTGCTGTAATCCATTTAATGCTTATTTATCATTTAAAATTTAAGCCTGGAACAAATGAATGAAAGAAAATAGCAGAGGATAAAGAATGGCAGTATTTACAGACTTCCATCAGGTGGCGCCAAAACACAAGTAATAATCCAACATCCATTTTTCACACAGCCCCACATCCCCATAGTTTCTTTCCCTCATCACCCACTGGAGTAATAATGATCATCCTTTTCAAATAGAATCTTCACCTTTTAGGTGCTTAGTGTTCTCCACTTCCAGTAATTTCACATGAGTTAAAATGAATAATGATTAAAACTCTGGAAGATAAACAGAACAAAGATACCTCCTCAGTTAACTACAGAATTTCCATTCCCTGAAAGCAACAAGGGTATGAAGAAAACGTTAGTTTCCCTTTTAGTCAACTTTCAGCTAGACACCTGCCCACCTGAAAGATACAAACCTCCAAGACTCCTTTATCATTGGATGGATGAGTAATGAAGTTCACACTCTTAGTGGGATGTGAGCAGAAGTGCTGTGGGCAACTTCTAAGGCAGTGGTTCTCAACTGGGGATGACTTTGCCCCCAGGGGACATTTGGCAATATCTGGGGACATTTTTAGTTGTCACAACTGAGGGGTACTACTGGCATCTACTGGGTTAGAGTCCAGGGATGCTGCTAAACATCTCATAATGTACAGGTAAACCCTCAACACAAAATAAGTATCCACTCCTAAATGTGAATAGTGCTGAGGTAGAGAAACTCTACCTTAAAGGAAAGGAGATTGCCCCCAGATTCCCCTTTCCCTGCTATCAATGGCAAGAAAAAAGGTACAACAGTGTGCCATCTTGGACCATGCAGGCCCTAGCAAGAAACCAGGAAGGACAGAGCTACAAGACAGGTAGAACTGAGTCTCTAGAACCGCAGAGCTGCCATGCTACTCTGGACGCCTTAACCCAGACTGCTGTGAGAGACAGAAACATGCTTCCCAAGGGTTTAAGCCACTTTTCTAGGTCTCTATGACAGCAGCCAAAATACCAATATTGTAACCAATATGTATGTGTGCTTTTATTTATATTCACAGTATTCCCATAATTGCTCTGCCCGAAACATACTTACTCTCAGTCTGTCTTGTTCTCCCTTTCCCAGAAGTCCCCTCACCTCTTTCTTCGTGTTATCTTACCCTTCTTCTCCTTTCTTCTTCCCTTGATGCTGGTTTCCTCCCTGTAGCAAATATTCTACCAGGCCCAAATTGACTTACCTGCCTCAATTACATTTTTTACTTTTCCCTGAAAACAGCACACTCCACCCCCCACCCCAACCTACCCTTTCCATCTGTAAAGGACTCATGTCCTACCACATACATTTTCTGAACAGTGGAGGAAGAATTTTGTCTAAAACAATCCCCCTCAGCCCATACTCTACAACATTTTCTTCATAGATTACCACAACATTTAATTGTACTATTTCACTTATTATTTATGCTTTACCCAACAACAGATTGATAATTTTATGAGGTCAAAAACTATTATTCAAAGTCAGGTGTGGTCCACAAAGTCTGTAATCCCAGTGGCTCTGGAGGCTGGGGCAGCAGGATGGAAAATTCAAGGCCAGTCTCAGGAACTTATAGAAACTCTTTTCTCAAAATTTTCAAAAAAGGGTTTAGGGATGTGGCTCAGTGATTTAGAAAAGAGAAAAGTTAACATGGAATTACTATGAATGTTTATAGAAGTCAATCCCTGGTGGTATGCCCCCCCAAAAAAAAAACCCAATTATTCACCATTGTATGTCCAGTAAATAAAATACTACTCCCCAATTATAATGTATACAACATTTCTGATGTTTTGTTTTTAGATATACATAACAGTAGGGTATTTTTTGACACATACGGGGTGCAACCCATTACAATTTTGATCCCATTCTCATGGTTGAACATGATGTGACGTTACACTAGTCATGTATTCATATATGAGCGTAGGAAAGTTATGTCTGCTTCATTCTACTGTCTTTCCTATAATTTTAAATATTCTAGTGGCCACATAAGTAAAAAGTTAAAAGTTAAATTAATTTTAATCTTTTATTTAGCCTAACCAGTCCTTCCCTAAGGTGTCATCATTAATTTTTATAATTGAGATATTTTACATTGTTTCTTTAAAAATTCAGTGTGTAATTTTCCCTTATAGCACATCTCAGTTCAGACTGTCACATCTCAAGGTCTCACAGCCACATATGGCTAGTGGCCATCCCAGTGGACAGGTTGCAGATATAGAATAGTACCCAACCAGTATATATTTGCTAAACAAGAGTTCTTCTGTTTTGATTCTTCTATAGTATACAAATAACAAGACAATAATGTCCCACTCCTGAGGTTGCCTAATAGTCAGCCATTCCTCTTATTGGGCACTTAAATTGTTTGCAACTTTCACTTTTTGGAATAAGTCTGCAATAAACATCCAACTCATGCCTGTTTTTTTTTTTGTTGTTGTTTTTTCTTGGAATAAATTCTCACAAAATATTCACCCTTTTAGGGATTGCTGTATTTTGCCAAATTACCCCAGGAAGGATATGTCCCTTTGATTTCTATTGCTTATTTAAGGATTTCTCTGCGGATAATCATGATGACAAAAAAAATAAATATATAACAGGTACTGGTTATTTGCTACAATACTCCCTACAAGAGGTTCTGTACGTCCTAGGTATGAGGAAACACCAGACTGGGGAGGTTAAATAAACTAGCACTGGAATCTCACTAGCTCTGATCTGGGTGAATCTGTTTTCAAAACAAGGTTATTTCCCACCCTCCGTTTTGGTTAAAATAGAAAGAAAGAAAGTAAGGCTAAAGACGAGGGAACAAAAATGAGCGCTTGAGAGCAGGGTAAAAAGTTAAAAGCACAGGGACCCTGCAAAAGCATCCCTCGCCTTCCCGTCCCGCCACACACATCAGTGCAGACCCGCCGCCCGGACCCCCGTTCCGGTCCTCGCTCCGGTGCCCGGACCCGGTTCAGCACTCAGTTCTCTAACCGGGTCACCAGCCATCCCCCAAGCTCCACCCCACGCAGCTGATTCCCATCCCGCGCCGCTCCTCCGGAATTGCGTAGCCCTTGATGGGAACCTGACGTCTACGGCGTAGGCGGGGCTTCCGGCGCGACACCGCCACGTGGATCCTCCTCGGAACGGCGTTTTAGTTGCCCGGGCAGCAGTCCCTCCTCATTATCCCTGTCTCCCCACCGAAAAATAGGTCCCTGCTCGCCCACCACCCGGGATCTGCAAGCTGCGAGCCCACGAGGTGACTTCGGGTCGGCTGGGTTTCTTTGGGGGAGTAAGGGAGGAGCCTGATGGCCGCAGGGCCTGCCTTCCTAGGCGCAGGGGGAAGTTCGGCGGCCACATTGTAACCATCAGCATCCCGCGGCAAAAGGTGGGCCCAGAGGCCCAAGAGATTCCTAAATCATTGCAGGTTAATTTTTAGAGAAGACTAGTTCTAGAGGCTCTCAACTCCGACGTGCTTCCCAATTACTGGGTGACTTAAGAAGTCTGATGTCCTGGCCCCCGCCCCAGTCCAGTTCAATACGAATTTCTAGAAGTGAGGCTCGGATGTGGGGAATTTTTTTTTTTTTAAGTTCCCCAGGTGAATTTAATGTGCTGGAAATCGCTGTGTTATGCTAGCTGTGCAGATGAATTCGGATTTTGCCCATCCACTCCAATATCTGAATAGAAGAGCGCCCAGGACATATCCTTGCAGGATATGTAGGATATTGGCCCATCTACTTAAACAAATTTTTTTTTCTTCCTTTACCCTTGCACTTTAGCCTCTGGGAGGTTGGAGTTTTTGGTGGTAGTTATCTTGAGACCATTTGGCAGCTGCAATCTTTGATGAGACTTACCTATTGAGGTAGAGAATACCTTTGCCCACTTATCCTTTGTAATAATGAGGTGGAGTTGAACCATGGCCAAAGAAGTTTTAGCTCTGAAATCCTGAGTACAGTTAAAATGGTTCTGAACAATTTTATTGTTTTCAGAAATGATTGCTAAATTTATTTAACAAGCTAGGTTCTGTATTCAGGTGTTATTCGCCTTAAATCAGAACAATATTACTTGAAAAATCTAGATTAAAGATTAAGAATACAAACAAGGCTTCTAGGGTTATTTACTTGCATGTCTCCCATGAATTGTAGGGCTTAGGACAGACACTCTTTAAAAATACAATTTATACTAGTATAATTTATCAGAGTTAAAAGCTCCTTTGGGATGGCTATGTGAACAGAAACTATATTTTTAAAAGATTTTTAGTACCCTTGGATAAGCATAACTGAAGGCAAATTCACAATAAGGTATATAAATTGCTATGTTCACTGCTAGCTGGAAAACTATACAAACTAAATTTCCACAGAAATTCTCTTCTAAAAATTTCACAAGGTAATGAAAGATTCATTTATATTTCTTAAGATCCCACATTTAAGGGTAGGGTGAGATGAGAAGGATAGAGGAAGACTTAACAATTAAGGCTAGAGCTGGAGAGTTTACGAACTAGATACAGAGCTCTCTCAACGACTTTTCCATAATAGAGAGTCCACCTATAGAAAAGTTGGACAAATTGAAAATATCTCGAAAACATTCATATATTTAAATATTTGCTTCCTGAAAAGACATGGGACTTTATTGTCAGTTATTTGAGTTCCTCAATAATTTGGAGAAGTAGAGGTAGAGGAAACAATGTTACAGGGATAAAATGGGCAATCTTAACAGCAATTACAACAGTATCCTGGGGCAGAAGATGCTAGCTATTATTTTATGCTGAAAGGAAGATGGGAAATTTAAAAGGAATAAATTGCAAATTCTGTTTCTATTTGAGTCCCAAATATATGAGGCATAGTGACTATCATATGGATTTAGAAAAGAGAAAAATTAACATGGAATTACTATGAATGTTTATAGAAGTAAATTTGAAATAAGGCACTGGAAATGGAAAAGTGGTATTAAACTTTTAAACTAGTCAAGGTTTTTGCTGCTACATCCTTAATTTGCTGTACCTGCTTATTCAGCCCTTATTCTTTTATGATCACTCTAGGTTTGCTGTATGATGGAAATGGTAACAAACCATTTCCTTTTTTAAACTATGACCATTATATCCTTCTTAGTTATCCTAGTTTTCAGTTCTCCCATTTCCTGTTGTGCTCAGGAGTCAGAAGGTAACTTTGTTTTTTTGTGGCATTCTGGCTCTGATGCCAATCACATGGGGACTCAGTGAACTTGCAAATAAATCCATTCACAAACCCATCACCCTTGCTGACGAATTAAACAATGCCCTTCTGTGAGTGGATTGACAATTGTGTGGAAAAAAGAATTGTTAGCTACATCCTTTCCATCTTCTTCCCCACACCATGCCTTCTTTGTGACAATACTTCTTAGTGCAACATCCCGAAGAAGGTAAATTGGGGTTTGGGATTAAGAGAATAAAAAGAAAAAAAACAGCTTTTTGACTCCCTCACCCCTCAGTTTTAACAGTGACTGTCATGGCGAGGTGCAGGTTTTGCAAACACAGTGGCATGTGTTCTTTGAACAGGCCCATGTCCAGCCAAAAGATGGAGCTTTCACTCTTCCTGCCGGTGAAACAAGGCCATTGGGACTTGTGCCATCTTTGATGTCCAAATAACTAAGCAGGGATCATGCAGAGCCACAGGAGGGAGCCCATAGGGCATCAAGCCAGAGGAACTTGCCAGCCTCTGCAACCAGTGAGGGGTAGCAGCAAGGCGCCCCAAGTAGGTGGGGGCAGGAAGCAGTGTTCTCACAAATCCCTATTGTATTTATTTATCTGAGTTGAAGTTCATACCAATGTGTTTTATTGAAAGACATCTTCCAGATAGAGTTAGCCTGTACAGAAAGATTTCTTAGAGCCACATGACTCAATTTATGTTATTCAAATTCTCTCCATACCTTCACTTCGCCTATGGACTCCCTTCCTCTTTGGAACAGTGTATACTGAGGACCTTAATTAGATCCCCAAATTATCTGATTGTCTCAGCCAGATCAGTGGGATCCTAATAGGAAGGTTCAACCTTCAGGACCAGAGTAATGATTTAATGATTGACTTTTACTGTGTTTCTATGCAAAAGTCAAAGCAAATGAGTTTTCATATATTTAGTTTTCGCAATTCTAGTGGAACAAGGAGATGAGGTAGAAAGGGAAATCTAGTTACTGGGTATAGTTTTGAGTGGGATCTGTGTTTTCATTTTATGTATCTGGTTGCCATGGTATGTCCTAGATCTGTATTTATAAGAATATAAAAAGTATATATGATGCCATTCCCTTTCAACAAAACCACATTACTTATGTGTAGAATTTTGTTTTTAGTAACTTGATGGAAATAGGAACATTTCATCCATTGAAAACTATGAAGTTCTTTGTTGTTTTTCATATATATTTGTGTATTTAAAAATATATCTTCCAAGCTGGGCACCATGGCACATGCTTGTTATCCCAGCAGCTAGGGAGGCTGAGACAGGAGGATCACAAGTTCAAAGCCAGCCTCAGCAATGGCAAGGCGCTAAGCAACTCAGTGAGACCCTGTTTCTGAATAAAATACAAAATATTGCTGGGGATATGACTCAGTGGTCAAGTGCCCCTGAGTGTGATCCCCAGCTCTAAATAAATAAATAATCTTCCAGAGTAGGCAGATACACTGCAGAATAAATGCCTTTTTAAAAGAGGCCATCTGGGAAATATATCACTCAAGATTCAGAGGCTCTGTCTTGATAGGCCTCAGCAGTGCTTAGTGAATAACCCATCCCTGTGGTTTTCCTTCCTTCTTAGTTGAGGACAGACAATGAATGGTCTCTATATTCAGTGGGGCTCAGCTGGGTGGTGACTATTATGCCATTGTGCTCACTGGGAAGAGCTGCTGGGTCTGAGGAGCTGTGGATCCTGGCCTTCCCTGACATTGTCAATCTCTTCTCAGCCCCACCAGCCCATTGGGAGAAAAGTTGCTGTTCAGTCCACCAAGGCTTGTGCCACCTGGGGAGGGGAGGATGAAAGGTAAAATGAAAAAACATTGAAAGGGTGTCTAAATCTGCTGCAGAACTTCCTTCTCCGTGAGAGGTGGCTATGTCTGAAGTGTTTTTCTGATGCCTAGAATTATTTAAATGTTGACTTTTCAGAAACCCAGAAAATTCTGCTTAGTTCCTTAAGCTGTCTAGGTGGAGAAAATAACCTGCTTCAATATAAAAGGATCCATTTGCAGAGGAGATTCTCCTCTTCCCTTAAAAACAAACGGAGATTCTCCTCTTCCCTTAAAAACAAACTGATAGGTGCTGATGAACCTGGGTGTTCAGCAGAGGTGGGTATGGATTCCTCCTAGGGCATAGATACTCAGAACTCCATCCTGCTTTGTGTCATTTTGTGGTCCTGTTTAGCAGTGGCAGTTAGCAGGGTCTCCATCAGAAATCATGCCACTGTCAGTGCTTTCTAAGCCCCGGGGATTTATATGGTTTTGCAAAAGTTTTTTGTTCATTTTTTTGTTTTTAATGTCTGTAGTTTGTGGGGCTTTTGTTTCTTTTGTGGTACTGGAGGTTGACCCTGGGGTGCTGTGCTACTGAGTTATATATCCCCAACCCTTTTCATTTTATTTTGAGACACAGTCTCATTAAGTTGCCCAGAGTGACCTTGAACCTGCAATCCTCTTGTTTCAGCCTCCCAAGTAGCTGGGGCTACAGGTGTGTACCACCATGCCTGGCTAAGTGTCTGCAGATCTTTAAGAAATGGCCCCATTTCCTTATTTAGTCATGGGGACTATTTTTTCCCCAAAATATTATAAATCAGTCACCAAGATTGCTGTGGATATTTGGTTTTCTTGCTTCTACTAGTCTTACTCCAAGCCTAATAATTCATGAAATGAGAATCCACTGGTTTCTAAATGGAAAGTGGGGAGCAATTAGAATGCTCAATGTATTGAGGGCACAGTATACAACTTAATAATATGTTATCATAAAATGGGGAAGGGCGAAAGATGGCTCACAGCCTGTCTTTTGTTCTTCCAAGGAACTAACAATTATTTTTATATATTTTAAAAGTGTTGTTTGGTGTAGTGTTTGGTGTTTCATTTTGTTTTTAAAACAAAGATGAATATGAAGACTATATGGAAAAGATTATATGTGCCCCACAAGCCTAAAACATTTGCTATTAGGACCATTATAGAAAAAAAATGCTAGCATAAAATAACAAATAATACTGGAAATACCAAGGTAATAATAATTATAAAGCTCCATGCAAGTTGCTATTCCTTTAGATGTGATTTCCTATACTTAATACTATTTGATTTTTAAGAGATTAATTTATAAACTCAAATCAGTTATTCAAAATGGTTAATTTTAATATCTGTAGGATTTTAGGGATTTAAAAAATACTTAAAATTTAAAAGGAAATGACAAATAGCATTTGGAATTTAGGAAGAGAAAATGTTAAAACCAAGGGTGAAATGAACATTTTGGATCTATAGCCCCAGTGATACTAAACTTGCTGGAGGATGACAGTACATTTTATTACAGGTATCCCAGCAGCCAAAGCAAATTTAATTCCTCTGCTACTGTTACCCAAAAGCAGAATTGCTAACAGTGTTCCCTGTATTCCATCGTTAATATAATTTTATCTTTCTTCATGGCCTGGGTCTTAAAGGAATCTAGCACCTGAGCTGGGTTTGTGGCTCAGTGATAGGACACTTGTCTAGCATCCCTTCCCTCTACAAAAAGAAAAAAAGGCCTAGTACCTTAGCTGATAGATACCATAGATAGTGGGCTCCCTTGGCTGAATCTGAACTACTGCTGGTTGGAAAGCTGAAGCTGCATTCTTCAGTCATCTCAGCTAGCTTTCCTGGCTTCTTTCTTCCAAAATGCTGAGTGAGTCTGGACAATCTCTGCACCAGTGGATCACAGCACTTCTTCCAGATTATCTGTTGAACCAAAGTTAAAAGCATCCTCTCCTCAAATTGGCACTCCTTCACACACTCACACCCCTGCTTTTTTAAAAAATATTTTTTAGTTTTAAGTAGACACAATATCTTTATTTTATTTTTATGTGGTGCTGAGGATTAAACCCAGTGCCTCATGCATGCTAGGTGAGCGCTCTACTACTGAACTACAATCCCAGGCCAATTCCTTTCCCCTTTTTAATCAGAGCCATTGAGCAGCCTCTTCAGCAGTTGTTTACTCTGATCACCCATACCTAAACCTCTAGTTCTGCCTAAGGAGCCTTTCTTGGCCATGAACCTTCAGAATACCTTTAATGCCAGAATGGATTTACCAAGATATAAATAAAAACAATATTTGGGGCCAGATGTGGTGGCTCATGCCTATAAACCGAGCTACTCGGGAGGTTGAGGCAGGAGGATTGCAAGATCAAGGCCAGCATGGGCAATGTAGTAAGGCGGGCGCTGTCTCAAAATTTTAAAAAGGCTGGGCAGATACTTCAGTGGTACAGCCCTTGGCTTGTATGCACTAGCACCTGGATTTAGTCCCCAGAACTGTGCAAAAAAAAAAAAAAACAGGATTTAGTCTGCAGTAGTGTTGAATCACAGTGGTGGGAATTTTTTTCCTTTTTTTTTTTTTTTTTAATGTGTGTGTGTGTGTTGATACCAGGGGTACTTTGCCACAGAGCCACATCTCCTTCACTTTCTTATTTTTGAAACAAGTTGCTTAGGGCCTCCCTAAGTTGCTGAAGCTGGCCTTGAACTTGCAGTCCTCCTGCTTCAGCCTCCCAAGTTGCTGGGATTAAAGACAAGTGCCACCACACACATCACAATGGTGTTTACTATAAATATTTGAGCCTATCAAATTTCCCAATTGAGGATAATTGACCTGATTCTGACTGCCTTATAGGGCATGGAAAGTAGTCTAGATTCACAACTCTTAATTTCCAGAAGATAAACAGATGTCTTCTAGACTTTTTAAGTGTAATTTCTGTGCTACTTGTTAATCTGTGAAACAAATTTGATTAAGGCACACATGGAGTTCACTTTAATATCATTATGTGCTGCAGGCTCTCCAAAAGCTATTCAGATTTCAAGGATAGAAATATGAAACCTTGCTTTAGTGAATTACACACTTAAAATCACCTTACAGTTTAGCACTCAAATATGTACTAATTTCTACCATAATTTCATTTGTATTAGTTTTATTTCTTTGGGTAGTAAGACACCCAAGTATTGGCTTTTTACATTTTTTCAGTAGCCTATAAAGCACATAGCCATTAGCTAGGTTTCCAGGTAATTGGTCATGTTCTAAACCTTTAAATTATAGCTTTAAAGTAATGTGAATTCAATTTTCATTTTATTTGTTAATTGTTTCCCAGTTTACATTCATTGCATGTTATGCACCTGAATTTAGGATAGGGAAAAAGAGAGATGAGCTATGTTTAAGATAAATTTATAGAAAGTCACTTCAGTCCTCTTAAAAATACCCCGTTTTAAAGCTTGTTATGTTTTAAAAGAATATGAACCAGGTGCACACTTGTGATCCCAGCTACTCAGTATGCAAGAAGATCACAAGTTCAAAGCCAGCCTGGGCAACATAGCAAGACTGTCTCAAAACAAAAATACAAAAGGGCTAGGCATGAGCTCAGTGGTAGAGCATCCTTTGGTTCAATCCCCAGTACTGGGGGAAAAAAGAGAGAATATAAATGATCTCTTTAGGCTAAATCTTTTTTTAAAAAAAAAAGAAAAAACTTCTTTAAATAGTTTTGGTTGTAGATAGACACAGTACCTTTATATTATTTATTTATTTCTACATGGTGCCTGAGGATTGAACCCAGTTCTTCACATGTGCTAAGCCAGGGCTCTACCACTGAGCTACAACCTCAGCCCCCCAGGCTAAATCTTAAAAAGAAGTGATCAATTTGACATCTTAGTTTGTAGCATAACCATATTGAATAGTCTGATAGAGATTACAAAATAAGTCACATTTATTTCTTAAGACTGGAAACTTTTAAATTATTCCCTGTAGTTCAGTGAAGTAGGAAAAATAGGACTCCTTCAGTATCTGATTTCTAAAGTTTTAAAACCTAAATAGCTACTTGCTTGGTATCACATTGTTATTGGTTTGTCTCACAGAAGCTTAAATTTACATGCATTTGAGAATGCTATTTTTGTTTAACTTTCGTAAAAGTACATTCTGGTGTAGGCTGGCATTTTAATAGCTCCAAACCCTGAACAGGGAAAAAAAATTAAATGTATTTTAAATAAGTTATCAAAAGTGTGCAGCTTCAGATTAAACTTTACGTATTTCTTGCAGTGAATCAATAAATCACAACAAGTAGGTGGGCAGTGGGATAAGAAGTAATTGTGCCAGAGCAATACCATTTGGCAAAGGCAATCGACATGGTACCTCAGTTGAGTCTCCAATAGAAGAGTTTCTTCTTGTGCAAAGACCACAGGGTCATAACCCAGGTGCCAGGGTCTGGAAAGTATGTTACTTAAAAAGCAGGCTTGGTGCTACAGAAAGGCAGCCTCTCAGGAGCTGTTTTACAATTCAAGAAGAGGCCATAAATATTCCACAACTGTTCTGATCACGCGTTCTCACTTTGGTTGTTTTTTTCCTAGTTTCAGTGCCCATTTGGACTTTCACAGAGATGGCTGCAGAGGTAAGATTACCTTTTTTTCATATGAGTTTTAAAAAATTTAGTCTTTAAATTCTTGATGCTCCCGTTCCATGATGGAGAAGACTGAGTAAATACAGATTGAGCTTCACAAATCCAAATATCTGAAATGCTCCAAAATCCTGAACTTTTTGAGCACCAACATGATGCTCAAAGAGTTTCAAATTTGGGGTATTTCATATTTTGGATTTTTAGATCAGGATGGCTCAACCAGTAACATCTATGTAAATATTCCAAAATCCAAAAAACACCAAAATCTGAAATTCTTCTGGTCCCATGCATTTTGGATAAAGGATATTCACTGTGTACATTAGAAAACAAAGCCAGGTACTGTGGTGCACACCTATAACCCACCTACTTGAGAGGCTGAGGCAAAAGGATTGTAAGTTCAGGGCTTAGCCCCAGCAACTTAGCAAGGCCCTAAGCAACTTAGTGTCTTAAAGTAAAAAAATAGAAAGGGCTGAGGATGTAGCCCAGTGGTAGAGCACCCATGGGTTCAATCTCCAGTACCAAAAAAAAAAAAAAAGAAAACTAAAATCACCATCATTACTATACATCTTGTCCCAGACATAGAGGAGTGAGCTGGATCAGCAGTTAAAAAGGAAGCAGAAGAGGAAGAACCAAAGGCTATCATGATCATCAGTTAGAATTGACAGGTCTTGAGCTAGTAGAGATGGCCAAGATGATAAATGTTGGTTTTTTTCTCTCTCTCTGCATCTTACCTAAAAATGATCATTATTTCATCTCTCCTTAAATCTTACTTAAAAACGACCATTATTAGCCTCTGTTCCCACATTATAAGCCTCCATAACTTTGAACTAATTGTCCCATGGGTACCTGATGTACACATTTGCAGAAAACAAGTGTGCATATGCTTGGTTTCTGTTGTAGGTATAGACCTGTCTTATGCCCTTTTGGGCCCAGTAACAGCCTCATGTAGAGTAGGTATTTAATAAATACTCAGTAATGTCTGTTGCTTAGTTGATTAAATGTTTGAAGATTTCTCTTGAGGATGTGCCATTTGGTGGCTGTCTTATGCTTGCCTTCATTTTGTAGGCATCAACATCGAAAGCTACTGAGCTTTGGTATTGTCATCCAGTATACGCAAGATATTGGCAGCATTACCATCAAGCGATGGCTTGGATGCGAAGCCACCAGAATGCCTACAGGAAGGCAGTGGAATCCTATTTCAGTTTCCCATGGTACTTCCCTTCTGCAGGTTTTCCCCAAAGCTCTTATGACAATGAGGGTGGATATCCACAGTCATTCTATGACCATCATATGGCCTGGCAGGACTCCTACCATAGTTATACACCCAACAGAAGGTCTGGACAGCCTCCATGTGACAGTAGGAGCCAGACACCTACAAGAGAAGATCAAGCATTGTTTGAAGAGGAAGAGATGGAGTCGGAGTCAGACGAGGAGGTAGAATGTGACCTGAGCAATATGGAAATCACTGACGAGCTCCGCCAGTACTTTGCACAGACAGAGAGACACAGAGAAGAGCGAAGTAAGTTCCAGCCTCTATTTCCTCATGCTCCTATTCCTTGCCCTGACTTTTGCATCTTTCTTTTTACCTAATATATCAAGTTATTGTATCTCTTCAACTGGGTGCAGGTAATATTCCAAATTCAGTCCTAAGCCTAGAAGAGTTGCAGGGGTATTGCACCTCGATTATATTTTTTTCCAGAGTGTTTTTAGTATAGGACTATTTATTTTATTTCCAGAGCAGAGCTTATCCTAATAATAATTACTTCTACCATTTATTGAACTTTAGGCATTCTGCCAGATGGAGTGGATATGTGCATGCGTGCCTGCATTCCCTGATCTATGCTATAGTCCCTCAAGGTATTAAACCCATTTTACAAATGAAGAAAGTGAACCTTAAGAAAGTTAATTATACAACGAGTAATTTGCTGTTAGGATTCAAGTCATGTCTGCCTGCCTCCACTTCCTGTGCTTCCTCTTCTGTGCCAGGGCTTGTCCCTGAGACTGCCACTTCTCTGGGACACAACCTAGAGACATTTCTGAATCTTAAATAGCTCCCTTCAGTGTAGAGATCAGTGTGAACCTAAGCAGAATAACAAAATGCCTAGAACTTACAGTTTTCCTGTTTGGTCTCATACTGCAAGTTAGAGAATTATAGTAAAGGTCTTTAGTTAGAAAGCAGAAATGTTCTTTTTTAATTTCTTAATACCTTGCTGCAAAGACTACTAAGATTTACTAGACCATTTATACTTTAAGTACCTCTGACAAATATAAAAATACTTTCTCCCTATTATAACCAGTATTGAATCTCAATTTTTTAAGTGCAGTCAAATTGTATAATATTTTACCTAGAATTTTCTTTTTTGTCTGTGTATGAGCCTTGGGATAGAACTCAGAGCCTTACACATTGCTAGACAAGCACTCTACCACGGAGCTGCATCCCCAGCCCATTTTATTTTTTATTTTGAGACAGGGTCTCACTAAGTTGCTGAGGCTATGCTCAAACTTACCTTCAACCTCAGTCTCCCAGGGAGCTGAGATTATAGACATGCACTACCACACCCAGCAGAATTTTCTAATAAGGAGAAACACAGAAGCCTGGGTCTCCATCTTAAAATATCTGTATGTTCCTAATGATGGGCTAGCATTATTGATCCCCACTGGATGCCAGGAACTAAGCAATGGACTGGATGTAAAGTATTATATCCTTTAGGAAATTTGCCTGTGATTCTTCACTAAATTACTCCTTCAACTATTTTTACTTTAATTCTTTTGATTAAACTGCCAATAGGGTATATACATCCAAATGAGCCAGGCACAGTGGCACACACCTATAATCCCAGTGGCTCAGGAAGCTCAGGCAGGAGGACCCTGAGTTCAAAGCCAGCCTCAGCAACTTAGCAAGGTCCTCAGCAAGACCCTGTCTCTAAATAAAATATAAAAAAGGTCTGGGATGTGGCTCAGTGGTTAAACACCCCTAGTTCAATCCCCAATACCAAAAAAAAAAAAAAATAGCCAAATGAATATTTTTAAAACAATACTTTCTGATTCAGGTATATTTCTTTCTTTGATCTGCCGAAACAAATTTTACTTTTTCTCAAAATTCATACTGTTAACAACCATCAGTCTAGACATTTTATTTATTTTTTTTAAGAGAGAGGGGGAGAGAAAGAGAGAATTTTAATATTTATTTATTTTTTTAGTTTTCGGCGGACACAACATCTTTGTTTGTATGTGGTGCTGAGGATCGAACCCGGGCCGCACGCATGCCAGGCGAGCACGTTACCGCTTGAGCCACATCCCCAGCCTGACATTTTATTTTTTTCAGTGCCAGGATTGAGCCTGGAGGCACTTAACTACTCAGCCTGAGGCAGGTTCTTGCTAAAGAGCTGAGGCTGGCTTTGAACTTGCAGTCCTCCTGACTCAACCTCCCAGATAGCTGAGATTACAGCACCACCATGCCAGGCACCATTAGTCTAATTTAAAAGTATACAACTGAGGAAGAGTAGATATTGGAACATGTCCACACTTGGTTGGAATGCTATTTTTATAACTTTCAAAAAAGAAAATGTGATGGAGATAGGGCTTATTCCTGTGCTGCTTGCCAGAAGGTGAAATATCATACTTTTCCCATCAGAGATTGATATTTTATGGTAGAAGTTATAATTAAAATGGGAATAAACCTCAGTCATCCTGAAGGTCATATATGATCTAGATAGCAAACCATTAAAAATGAGGATTTTATGAAAATGTTTGCCATCTCCATCTTTAACCTCACTCTACAATATTTACATTATCATTAGGAACAGTATACAGAGAGAGTTGAGGCAGAACTACTCAAATCAGAGGGTTTCTAGTTGGGCATGGTGGCATATGCCTATAATCCTAGGGACTTGGGAGGCTGTGACAGGAGAATCGAAAGTTTGAGACCAGCCTCAGTACCTTAGCAAGACCCTCAAAATAAAAAAATAAAAATGGCCGGGGATGTATGGTGCCCCTGGGTTCAATCCCAGAACCAAAAGAAATCATAGGGTTTCATCTTAGCTTCCCCACTCACTAGCCGGAAGTTCTTATCTTCTTGTGAGCCCCTATCCTCACTGTTCTATGCCTCAATCTCCTCACCTGTGAAATGGGGATCCTAATTAATCAGGTGGTAATTATGAAGATGAAATGAGATGATATAAGAAGGGGTAATTAGAATGGTGCTTGCAACAAAGGTAGTGCCCAATAAATGTGAATTGTTATGGTTAGTTGCAATAACCAATCCTTTAAAATGTATTGTTAACCATGCATCAGTTTTGCTCTGATTAGTTTGCCTGGATTAGTGCTTGGTGGAGAGTCTGCATATTTTTCATGAAGACATGTGGCTTCAAAGGGGTCATATATTTCTGTTCTAGGCAGCACCTTTCAAACTTTTAAACTGATTTAGAACATGAAAAACATGAAAGGATTAAAATCTTGCTATCTGTCAAATTTAGTCATTAACACAATTTTTAGTTCTGTTTCAAGGATATTCTTGACATTCTTTTTTCTTACTTGACATTTAACATAGTAAAATACATGGAAAGTGAACCCATTTCATATCACTAATAGCACCAAACACAGAAGCTTCAGGTTTATGTGCAGTTAGGACTGGGAAATAAAGCATTTCCCTAGCTTATATGAGACCCCGGGTTTGCAGATGATTTATATCATTGTTTTATTCCCAATAAAATTTATAGTTAAAGCACAGTTCAAAACTACTTATCTTCGAGTCTCTGCCATGCTTTCATGTCCTGCAGCTTTCCCTGAAAGCATTATTAGGTCCCAGGGAAATGTGAGAGTTGTCTGGTGAGGGTGAGAACAGGGTATGGTGTCTAAAGACTTGGTCATTTTTAGAAGAAGCTGCCAGGGCCTGATCCTGCACCTTATTTTCCTATTGAAAATATCAGGCCACAAGTCACTAGGATTTTTTCCCCCCGGTAGCACTCTGGGTGGGTACAGGATAGACACATGTTCTTTGGAGCAGGCAAGAAGGATAGAATTCACGTGTAATTTGAATGCCCATTCTAACCCACTACATACACCAGAAATATTCATGGAGATTAGATAACAAACACAATTCAGAAAAGCTTTTAACAAAGAGATAAGGGAGAACCTGAGGTGCAGTGGCACACACCTGTGATCCCAGCATCTTTGAAAGTTCAAGGCCAACCTCAGCAATTTAGCAAGACCCTGTCTCAAAATTTAAAAAATAAAAAGGTCTGGAATAAAGTGCCCTTTACTTTCAATCCTAGTTCAATCCCTAGTACCAAAGAGAGAAAGAGAGATAAGGGAGTCAAGCATGGTGACACACACCTATAATCCTAGCTACTTGGGAAGCTGAATCACAAGTTCAAGGCTAGCCTGGGCAACTTAACAAGACCCTGTCTGAAAATAAAATTAAAAAGGCTGGAGGTGTAGATGAGCGGTGAAGTGCTTGGCTAGTATGCTTGAAGCCCAGAGTTCAATCCCCAGTACCTTAAAAAAAGAAAAAAGAAAAAGAGATAGGGACCTGGAGAGTGCAAATAATTGGCAAAGGTTTTTGTTTTGTTTTGCTCTTTGAACAATGAGAAGTTACTTATTCAGTAAGGGCCAATTTATCTGGGCATGGTAATGCAAGCCTATGATCCCAGCAGCTCATGAGGCTGAGGCAGGAAGATTGCAAGTTTGAGGCCAGCCTCAGTAACTTAAGCCCTAAACAACCTAGTGAGACCCTGACTCAAAATAAAAAAGGTCTGGGGATGCGGCTTAGTGGTAAAGCACCCCTGGTTTAAATCCACAGTACTAAAAATAAGTGAAGGCCAATTCATCTTGGAACTTGAATCATTTAGACAACACAGGATTTTATAAAATATTACTAGCAAGGGAAAATGTAGCTGAATTTAAAAGATTTAACTTTTCAGTATTATTCACTTCCATAGGGCCACATGAGGCCTGTCTAATACTTTCTTAGGATGAAATCCTTCAGACTGGACAGCATATTCTTGTTTGTGATTGCTGCCCTTCCAGATAACCTCTAATTTAATAGCTTTCAATAATAAAAATACAAAACAGTTAAGTGGGATAAGTCTTCTTTTGCACAATGAGAACATGAATTCTTTCAATTATATTATGTGTCATCATTTCTAACAAGATATTCCTATTACTTAAAACTACAATGGTAATATTACAATAAAGTAAACAGTTGTGAAGTTTTCAAGGTCAGCTGTTTTTTCAGTCATTTCTTAGGGAGAATGTTTATCATTGACTAAGAAAAGTATTTTTTAGTCATAAATGGCCATCAGTTGAGACAACAAGGCCATATTCCTAATACTTAGAGATAATCTAAGTGAATGTCATCATCTCACAGAAAAGCAGGCCCTCTAAAACAAACACTGCCCCTATTATCTTGGGGTTGTGCCCACAGTTTTAGGGGTGGATGTTGATTCAAAATAGGGAAATAATAATAGAATAGGATATTCTTTTGTTGTTGTTGTTGTTGTGTTGTGTTGTGTTTTTGCA